GAGAGAGAAATAATAATAATAAAAAACAAAAACAAAAAAAACAACACATTAAGGAGGGAGAACAATTTGGGAAACAAGAAGCTACAAAAGAGTTCCACAAGCAAGAAGTGCGAGAGAAGAAACTGTTAGCATAGAACTTATGGTTATATCTAGCCATTTCAAGAGTAAAATGGTAAGACCTTGCTGCCAATCTAGAACTGCACTTAAATTCATAAAGTTGAGGTATTATCGAGGAAAGTTCATCAGAACAATTACCATGAAGGTATTTATAGAAAAGGTACAGCAAAGCTATGTTATGGTGGTGAGAAAGTAACAAAAGCCAAGGTGCCAGGTCAGGACCAATAACATTGCAGATTCTTTGGATTTTATCAAGGACCCCTAAATATATAGTAGAAGCACTAGACCAGATGTGGCAGCAATATTCAAAACAGGATCGAATGGCAGACTTATAAATATCTAAAAGATTTGGAAATAGTGCAAAAGTAAGAAAACTGGTTTGAAAGAAACAATGTATAATAATACTTCATTCCAGAAATTCAAAGAAATAAATGACTAATATTGTGCTTACATTTTTGAAGATCCAAGTTGATTGGAAAGCCAGAAGAGTTCCACAAGTGAGAAGTGCTATAGAAGAAACTGTTAGCATAGAATGTACAGTTACATCTAGCCATTTCAACTATATATGATGAGACCTAGCTGCCAATACAGCACTTAAATTCATAAAGTCTAGGTACATTAGAGGAAAGTTCATTAGAACAATTACCATGAAAGTATATATATATATATATATATAAATAAAATGAACAGGGAAGCTACATTACAGTAGTGGGAAAGTGACTGGAGTTGAGATGCCAGGTCAGGACCAATCATATTGCAAATTTTTCTTTGGATTTTATCTAGATTCTCTAAATATGTAGCAGAAGTCTCAGACCAGATGTGGTGGCAATATTCAAAGCAAGGAGGAATGGTAGACTTATGTGTAAGATTGATTATGGTGAGAAAAACTATAGCACGACACAATGAACCAACTTTCAAAGCAGTAATTAAAGTAATTAGACATAAATGAAATTATGCTTGCAAGTTATGGCAAAAATGGAATTGTGATTTTGATTATTAATGGAGAAGCAGAGAAAATAAGCAAATTAATTTTTTTTTCAAAATTCTGTGGCTAATGTGTTGCGTGATAAGCAGGTTGTAAGGCGTGAGATCCAAATCAAAGTGCAAAGCATTTTTATGCACTGGAGGAAGGCTGAAGAATGCATCGACAAAGCCATTGTGATAAAACAAAAATAAAGTTGTTAGTCTGGGCAATTTATGGAATAATAAGAACATTTCATCTCAGAATTGCAGAAAATATTTCAACTTTTTAAGAATTTAGACCAAGTGTTTAAATCTTTCAAGCAGAGAGTTAAATTTCATTTTTTTTTTTTTTTTTTTTTTTTTAAATAATCTGCATAGTGGGTTATATTAATACTATCTTTTTTTGTTTTGTTTTCATATATAAAAAGTTTTATCTTCTGTCCTTTCATCTATGAAAGAATTATATTCACTAAATAGTTATTTTTAAATCCTAGTATATCAAAATCCAACCCACCCTTATTGATTGAATAAAACACTTTCCTAGTTTAAATTTAGGAAAAAGCACAATAGTTTTTTGTTCATTTGCCCTAAAATTCTTGTTTAATTTTTTTTTTTTTACACAAACCGGTTTGCTTGTAATAATAATAAAAAAAAAGGACAATTCTTTCTAATTTCCATTAATTAGCATTCATTAGACATTCTTGTAAGCACGATATTTTGCCAGTTTAAAATATACTGATTTTATTTACTTATATTATTTTTTATATATTTTTTTTTTCAAAATTGACATTTTGTAGTCTAATAACATAGTCAATTCTTGCTCAAATAATCTCAAACTTTAATAAAATTTGTAACTAAGTTGACTGTATGGACTTATCTCAATGAGAATCTGCCAGAAAGGTGGATTGGGCATGCCAGTGATAATGACAATCTTCTGTTGAAATGGCCAACATATTCACCTGACTTGACAACTTGTGATTTTTTTTCTATGGGGCTACATGAAAGGAAAAGTCTATATCCCCACTCTTCCTACAAGCCTAGAGGAACTTAAGCAGGGAATCACCGAGGCACTGAAGAATGTTATGCAACGCATGCTACAATGTGTTTGGTGGGAGTTGGACTACTGATTTAATGTGTCATGTCACAGGTGGTACACACCTTGAACATTTGTGAAGCTTTGTGAAATCAGTTATAAAATCTACATTTCTTTGAATACCTTGTTTGAATTTTGATAAATCTTTTATTGTTCAACATGAAGCCTATTTAATTCCATTTGCCTGGGACATGTAGTTACTCAGATATAACATAGTTTAAATGATCTCAATTTGGGCTAGGGGGAGGGGGTACACCCTGTATAAAGACTGTCAAAATGATCCTACGATTTTTCTTTAAACTGTATTCACATCACTGATAACTGTACTATTAATGTTGTCCTTGTGCCCAATTAGGGATTTTTTAAAAAGGTGATCTTTAGATAAGACAAGGTCAAAAAAAAAAAAAAAAAAAAAAAAAAAAAATTCAAATTTTCATGAATTTATCATATCTGTAGTATGACTGCTTATTGATTATATAATGAGGATGTTATTGGAAATGTTGCTATTTACTGTGTCCTTAGAAAAAAAAGAAATTTAATAAAGCCAATTCTATATCACATTTTTCCTACACACATCAAAAAAAAAAAAAAAAAAAAAAAAAAAAAAAAAGAACCATTGTTTTGTTTATGGGTCATCATGCGATCTCTTGCAAATACTGATTTTTATTCTTTTCCTATATTTAAACAAATATATGTTGGAATTTCAAACTGAATCCTTTATTTCGTCCACTGGAGTAGATTGTTCTAGTTCCAGGTTTCAGTTTGAAATTCTAACATATCATCTGAAGAAGGCCAGAGTATACAATAGCTGAAACATCATGAATATGACAAAGATATGGATAATAGTCCTAACAAAGTAAATAGTGTAAATAGTTACAATACCACGTCTCAGAAATATAGACAGAAATTATTTATAACTATTTATACTGGAACACATGCATGTAATTACAAGCAATCCATAATAATATTTTAAATTTTGAAATCATTTATTTTTGGCAAATGAATTTTTTGAAATGGTTTCTAAATCTTTGCTTGTCTTTCAACCATTCCGTCTCACCTGTTATCCTCTTTTGATGCACCTATGAGGCACACCACACTATTTAAGATAAATATTTATTATCTCCCTTTGTGCAAGGGTCTCCATAATAAAACTAAAGCCAAAAGAAAAGTCATAAATCTTATTTAAAATTTTATTTAAAAACTGGAAAAAAACGTCAATAACAGGCACAATTTCTAAATAAAATAAAAATATTGATTAATTTTCTATGGTTTATCAATCCTTTTGCAGGTTATTTAAAGCCAGAAAATAATTTTAGATTATAAATTTTTTCGAGATAATGATTTAGTGATGTAAGTCTTACTAATTAACCCATAGCTAGGGGAAGAAGAGGTTGATTCATACCTTTCTCAGGGGTATTTGTAAGTGAATGTAACAAACTCATGTCAAATTAGAACTGTGCTTCAGTTAACTATTCTGGGCTATTATTCATTACACCACCTGCACCTGATATTCCCAAACAGTAACCCATTTCGATACTGACCAGACATTGCTTAACTTCAGTGATTGTATGGGAACCAGTTTCAATGTGGCAGTAAGCCTAAAGTAAAATTAACTCTCTTTAAAAAAAAAAAAAAAAAAAAAAAATCAGGGATCAATTTGACATTGTATTTATATTCAGAACAGGACACCCCTAAAGTGATAATAAAAAATAATTTGATTCTGACAAACGTTATGAAGGATTTGTTTTTTATGGGTTATCAACATATTGCAGGTTATTTAAAAATATCTTTAGATTGTAAGAATTCCTTTGAGATAAAGATTTACTGATACAAGTCCTACTAATTAGGCCATAGCAAGGGGGAGAAAATGGTAAATTCATACCTTTCCCCACGGGTATCTGTGCATAAACGAATATAATGAACTGGAATTGAACACTCCACCTGCACATCCAAGCTTAGAGCACCTGGTATTACTAAGTGGTCACTCATCTAGGTACTGACCAGGCTTGATATTGCTCAACTTTAATGATCGTATGAGAACTGGTGTTTCAACATAAGGCCATAAGCACCATGCTTGGAGAAAGATCTAATGAATGCTAGTCAACAAAAATTAGCCACACACACACACACACACACACACAAAAAGAAATAAAGAAATAAAAAGGAAAAGTTTAGGTGTCCAGTGTGGACATTTTTATTTTTTGATGCCATGTCCCTTCAGGATATAGGTGATCATGGCTCTCCACAGATTCCTTTTCTTTATTATCTGAGAATTACTAGGTGTTCTTGGGAAAGATAGTGTAGTGGTTTTACCCCTGCCTTCTACATGGATTGGAATTCAGAGCTTTTCCTTCTCTTAGACTGGTTGCCACTCAAGGCTAGAGAGTCTACTCAGTCTACTTCTGCAAAGACATTTGTGCAAAAGTGAACATAACAGACTATCCTGGAATTTGAACATGGTTCGCTGGCTTCACTTTCCATGTTGATATTGGTTACACTCCACGTAAATCCTACACACACTCACATAGAGGAGTGGAATGAGAAATATTTGATCCATAGGGGTAGATCTAAGTTTGGTTAGTAATTTCATGGAACTATAATATAACTGAAGAAGGCCAGAGAGTATGATGGTTGAAACATGTTGATAATAAACAAGATAAGGACACTAATCTGAGTCAATCGGCATATTATAAAGTCTAAAAAATTGATATTTATTGGGTGATGGAAGCAGAATAGCGCAGTTGTTGGTTAAGCAGTGTGGTTAGTTTGTTAAAAATAGCATTAGAGAAAGAGAAATTTATATTCAGGCCAGTACACCACCGCTTACCTCTCGGATGAATGAACCCATGTCTATTATTGTCATCAGGAGAGAAGTATTTCCGGCCTGAGTTATACTTCACATCATAATGACGGGAGTTGGGCAGTAAGTCAGGGACTTGCACCAAACCTCCACCTGTTCCATCAGCTGGACATATTTAGGGGAAAATAAAAAAAAAAACAACAAAGACAATGCAATTATACACTTATCAGCACCAAAAGCACAAAAACCACAACACAAGAGTCAGCTCCATAAAAAAAAAAAAAAAAAAATCACAAACATATACACAAACCTTAAACATTATACATACACACACAATAATATATATATATATATATGCACTACTAAGGTTAACTGGTCCACTCATAAAAAAAATAGAAATTTTTTTTTTTTTTTCTTTCTTTTTTTAACAATTTTTGTAAATAGTATTCATTAGGCCTTCCTCAAAATTGAAACTATTTTTAAATTTCAGCCTGCTACTGGTAATGTGTAACCCATTTTACAACCTGTTGCATGTATGGGTGGTTGGTGTCTAAAACAGTGCTCCAATGACATGTCAACCTCATGAGAGGTGGAGGGAGCAAGGTAGAGAGAGACACCTGTCAAAGGGTGGATGAGCCAACCTATATGAAATATGGATTGTAATCTGACAATGATAGGATAAGAAACAAATACAAAACGTTTATAAATCCAACATACTTTAATTTTATTTAAGTTTCATCAGAGAATGAGACATGGAGAAAAAGAAAAAAAAATGAAGCTCTAATAAATGTGAAACATGTTTGATTTATATACAGCTAGGATGAGGTTTCAAGCCTTGAATGGCAACCTTCCTAGAGATGAGGTATCAAACTACTGTGAGTGCTTAAGTTGGGTGGGTGTTAGGAAGCGCATCTGGATTGTAAAATCTTGCCCTAAATCATGACAAATCCTTTGTCAGGCAGGACATACTTTGTTTTGTCAGAGATTAATCCTGGTCCTGCCTCAAAAAAAAAAAAGTTATGTATGCCAAAATTGGTCCTCGACTTAAAGAGTTATCTGTACTTAGTTTTTATTTACAAATGTCAAGTTTGAAACTGTACTTTCATTATTGGTAACTGTGGACTACTGAAGCTGTCCATTGCCCTCACTTCATAGTAGTACAAAAATATCAATAATGTAACATTTGTAAATAACAATACAGATAACTTTTAAAAAAAATCAGGGATCAAATTGACATTCTATTTATATTATGAAAAGGACCCTCTTCTAAAAGGATTTAAAAAAAAAAAAAATCAATATTTTACAATTCTAAATGTTGTAGCATGAGAAAGGTTGAATGAAAGATAAATCAAAAATTATTCCAAGCACCTTTCCCAATCTTTTATGAGCAAACCAGTTAAGATCAAGCATTCCTAGATTCTTTTTTTTTTTCTTTTGATTGGCCTTTCTTAGTAATCAAGGTCAGTATTAAACATTATTAAACATACGGTTTTTTTATACCTCACTAATTTCATTATTAGTATATTATATTAACCAAGTTGTAAACATTTTTTCGCCAAATTTGTGGTTCTACAGCCAAAAATAAATGAACATATTTGCATTAAGAGATCCGTTGATAGTACTTTAGTATTTCGAAGGAAATATTTTGGCTCAGATTATTTCATTAACTTTATAGCAATGCTTTTTGGAAAGGAATGAATCCATCTCTTCTCAGATATACGTAAAATGAAATGAACTGACCAAGCTCTCTAGCCTTGAATCTAATACTGTGCAAAAGTGAGCTTCATCCAAGAAATATTTTAGGAGACTTCCTGTAGATTAACTTTTTGAGTTTTTTTCATGTTATTTATCTTGTTTTATGGAATATTTGAAATTCTTAGATGAAGCCTGGTAAATTATATATAATTTTTGACTAGTATTTCTTTCATTTTAATTTCTCTTGCTTCATTTACATGAGTAGGATTAAATTTAAGAAATTCAAATAATATTGCATGTGAGCTTTGTCCAGTAAGTTTTCATGCCCATTTCTTTCTGGAAATTGCAAAATTTATGGACCTATTTTTTTTTTTTAACCTGCACCTATGGATGCAAAGGAAAGAGTGGAATTACAAAAAAAAATAATGAAGGGGAAAATAACTCAACAAGTTATAAAATTTCTCATCAGTGGAAAAGGTTGAATGACACCCCCACCCCTGGAAAAAAAGAAAAAAGAAAGAAAGAAAAGTCCATTTTTTCACAACTCTGTTTCTGTTTTTGGAAATCATGTCTTCTAATTTTAATGCCCACTGTCCAATTTTTGAAATGGTGGATCTAATACTTGATTTTTATAAACCTTTATAATATTTATTTTTAATCATTTCAGCAGAAGGAAGGCAATAAAGTCACCAACACACAAGGGGTTACTGAGTGTTAGAAAATACGAGAAAAAAAGAAGAAAACATTATTAATGAGAGAGAACAATACAAGAACAAGAATTGACACTTTATATTTTTATAATCTAACACTGGATATTTTTATAAACTTAAAGATGTATTTCTTAAAAATCTGGTATTAATTTTATGTCAGATATTTTTTTCCTTATAAATCTATGATTGATACCAGATTTTTAAAGTCTATTATTAATAACAGGTTTTATAAACTTTCCTAATTTTTAATTTATATATTTACCTACTGTTAATATAATTTCAGAAGCCTAAAATTAATACCGGAATGTTATTCTAATTTTTATTATACTGGTTTTTATAGTAAACATTGATTGGTTAAATGTATCAGGATGTGTCTTGTTCAAAATTTGTTTTTTTTTTTTATATAAAATTATCTTAATATTCGAAGGTGTAGGTGTAAAAAAAAAAAAAAACCTTGATAATATTGTGAGAGAGATGGCAAAAACACATGCAAATTAACAAAGGTCATGCAGACACTGGGTTGTAATGAAAGAAGACTGAGACAATGCAGTCAACACACATACAAGAAGGAAAGGTAGGAAATAAATAAATAGAAGCATAAGCCACATGCTCTTTGGGAACAATAAATGAAAATATCTTGAAAAAAATAATTGCAAAGAATTTTTATAATTAAACTCCTTGGTATTAGGACAACAAGTGTCGACAGGTAAAAATCAACCAATTTCACCAATGTTATAGTGTTTGGTAATAATAGTTGATAATATTCAATGTTGATTGATTTTTTTTTTTTTTTTTTACAGCTTATCAACCCTTTGTGGGTTATTTAAGGTCAGAAAATATTTTTAGATTGTTATCTATAAAAAAAAAAAATTTTTTTTTTTTTTACAATGATTTAAAGATACATATCTTACTAATTAACCCATAGCTGGGGAGAGAAGAGGTGGATTCATACCTTTCCCCAAGGGTACTTGCACGTAAGTGAATATAATGAACCCAACTGGAATTGGAACTCTGCTCTTTGATTAACAGTTACAAGCCATTATCCATTACATGACTTGCATATCCAAGCTTATAAACACTTTAAATGTTATTTTTAGTGAATATCCATATCTGAGTATTTATTGAACAGTATTTATTCGACTTTGTTTGATTGGTGAAACTCTTCGTGGCAGAGGGGGGATGAAGGATTGAATACTGTCAGAGGGTGCATATTTTCTTTAATAAGATTTCTTGATTATTCAGGCCAGTAGACGAAAATAAATAAATATACTATTTAATAAATAAACAGAACATTTACTCAAATAGGGGTATCGACTAAAAATAACATTTAAAGTGATAATAATATATAAAATAATGTTTAAATGTTTATATATATATATATATATATATATATATATAAAATTGCTGATACCCACTAACCAAGTCAACAAAGCGATTCATAGAGTCCATCTTTGAAACTCTGGAGTTGAGATGCTGAAGGTAACATCAATCAGCTAAGTGACAAACCTTTTGTTTGTATTATATATACATATAATTTATTCGCTAATTATAACAAATGTTATAAAATCACTACAAAAATAGCCATTTTGTTTCAACACTTCTGGTGTCTTATCAAGTGCAGTTGATAAGCCAGAAATGTTGAAACAAAATGGTTATTTTTATAGTGAATTTATAACATATTTGTTATAATTTTCAAATAAATTATATTTGCTCTACTCTGTATTGAGCATTCTTTTAAGAATAGTATTTTTTGGTTATTGGAATTTATTCTGTATACACCAGTCCTGTGTGTGTGTGTGTGTATAAACACACACCAACATAAAGTATATTTTAATTAAAAATAAAAATGAAACAGGCATAATCTTTAAATTGTTTCCAGTGAATAATTAGAGAAAGCTCTTTTCATAAAAATTATTTATTTTTGTTGAAAGAATGATTTCCTTTTGATTGGAAAATGTATTACTTCACTTCGTAGGCAACATTTCCAAAATTATAAACTTTATACAAGATGCACATCAAGGTTTTATGACCAATGTAAATCTTGCTGGTTTAGTTAATGTTGCATTATTGAATAAAAAACATTGAATTAATAGACAAACATAGGTCATGTTCACACTAGTTTAAGCAATAGCCTGGCTTATACAAGTGTCTGCAAGCATCTTTCTGGGTGACCCTCATTTGATGGGATCTTACTCTTCTGCCAGTCAGAATGGATGAAAAACAAAGGTGCATTATATTTTATGCAAAGCTTTTAAACTTATTTTTCCTTCTGTTTGATTTTTAGATTTTGAATCCAGTTCTTGTACGCTATGATTATGGCTCTATATTTTGCTGTCATTTGTAGTTTTTAGCAGGTTTTTCTTCCTTTAGACAACCATACATTCCCACACTAACGACTCCTATCTACCTGAGTTTGGAAATTCAGTTTCCCTTCTCCTAGACTGGCTGCCAACCAAGGCTGTAGATTTAAGTCTGCCATATTTAATCCATAGTTTTGGGTAGGAGAAATGGGTTCATACTTTTCCCCCAAGGTATTTGCTCAAAAGTGAATGTAATGAAATCAATTGGAATTTGAACTTGGCTTGCTTATTTTGTGTCTTGAGCTACTAACCATCACCTCATCCACACACCCTTATTAAAATCATTAAAAATTTATGATTCATCAGAATAGAAAAACAAATTCTAAAGGTTTCTGCTAGTGTATGATAAATCTAACACCTGGATAAAAGTCAAGTCCAATCAGCATTGTACACCTGCCTTACACTGCCATTCTTGAAATGTACACAGGAGATCAGGACATTTTCTGCCATTGTTCCCAATAAATCACTTCTAACTAATTTCCAAAAGGAAGAGAGACAATGACAAAAACTGCAAAATACTTATTTGAGATTTCACATCAAAGACCAGAGTAAAAGCAGATTAAAAAGGAATTACCAACCTTTTGAGGTTCTGTAGACAACAGTAGGAGACATTGGTCCATATCCCTTATTGTTGCGAGCTTGCATCTTAAAGAAATACGTAGTGTCTGGTGTTAGGTCTTTTATGGTAGCTGATAACTTGTCTCCATCAACGTTGTGTACAACCCAATCGCGATCTTCTTGGTGAGAGTCCGTTGTGTAGAAAATTAAATAGCCTAAGAATTCAGAGAGAAAAAAAAATGCTGCATTAATACAAATGCAAAAGTTTAAAGGAAATTTACAACAAAATCATTAAGTAATGCTGACGAGGGTCATTTAAGCTATTAATGTCTACTGTAAAATCAGATATAGAAATTAAAATAAAAATCTAGTATTAATTATAATTTAAAAAAAAAAAAAAAAATCCTGTTTAATTTTAGATTTCTACTTATAACCCATTGAAGCCCACCATAAAATCCAGTATTATAAAAAACTAAAATAAAACTGTATCAATTCTAAGTTTCTAAAAAATCCTGAATGAACACTTTTATTGTTGAATTATTATAGCATTGTTGCCTGGCTGTACTGCCCAGATTTTTTAAAAAAAAAAAAAAAAAAAAATTCTGTACAAGGCCCAAGAGCCATTCGAAGTAGAGGTTTATAGATTAAGAGTAATGCCCCTCAGCAAGCTGATGATGCTACCAAGACACAAGGAGAAGGAAAAGGATTGAGTTTACAGTTCAATAATATGAACCAAAAACCTAATCCAAAACAATTTGTAGTGGGGAGAATAGGAAATTGCTATTTATAAGAAATAAATGACTATAAAGATGCTGAGAGAGATTTCTCTTGAGTGCTGCCTTTTTGGTTTTGATTAAATACTTTGTAGTACAGATTTAATAGTTGAAAATCATTTAAAGGCTGATAGGCTTATTTAAAAAAAGTTTATAAAGAAATCTTTTCAAAGCAAATGATTTATTTAAAAAAAAAAAAAATAAAATAAAAAAAGTAAAAAAAAAAAAAAAAAAAGGTTTATATAAAAAAAAAAATTCATACAAAAGAAAGAAAAATATTTGTATTAAATATTACTTCTACCCGTTAATGTTCAGCTGCTCAGAAATGCATCAATGTCTTAATTTAACCTTTCTGATAAGAAAGTTCCAAATAACAAACTTACCTGTGAGTTGACCATTAGGTCTCTGTGGTGGTTGCCAGCTGAGTGTAACAGACAAAGGATTACTGTCCACAGTAGCGGGAGTGAGATCTCGAGGTACGCCTCCTGGAGCTAAAATAATATCACATTGTAAAAATTAGATAATAAAATGAGAAATAATTCAAAATGAAACTGAAAAAAAAAAAAAAAAAAAAAAAAAATTCTTTACAGACACACTGTGTCCAAGAATTATATCATATTTTGGTTTGTCTGAAATTTCCTGAATACAGTCTAGAATTACATGCTTTATGGTACACGATTGTTGGCATGTTTACATATTGGTGATTCCTTGTTTTTAAAAAGAAAAAGAATGGGTTAGGCGAGTGTGGCCAATATGAAGTCTATCTAGAACTACCTCTTATTTTTCTATATCCTGGAGGCCATCTTTCAATGGTGGGTTGGATTTGTTTTGAGAAGGCTGTTCAGGTAAAATTGAAGATCAATTGCACAGGTGAATGATAGTCATATGATAAGCATGTCTCTAAAGTTAATAACAAATGACTTGTGACTTGTTAATAACAAAATAATATAAATTATGTGACTTGTTAATAACAAAATAATATAAAATATAAAATGAGGTTCTTTTCATAGGTTTGTTATTTCTCTAAAAAGTGGAACATAGTAATGAAGCCAGTATCAACAAGGTCAAAGAGGATTGATTGATTAAAGAGGTTCTATAGAATTTGAGGGGATTGTGAGAGATTACATCTTTGTATAAAATCTCAGGTAGTTTATAAAGTTAAGTATGTTATTTGGGTTGGTTTGTATGAAAAGCTTGTTCATGTCTTACTTTTTTATAGAATTTTTCCTGGACATGGTTAAAGTCAGATGTGCTTGATGGTATATGATTTTTGGCATGCTGGACATATTGAAGGTTTCTTGTTTTTAAAGAGAAAAAAAATGGGTTATGTGAGTATGGCCAATGTAAAGTCTAGTTAGGACTACCTCTTCTCTTATCCTTCTATATCCTAGAGGCCTTCCTCCAATGGTGGTTTGTATTGGGGGGTGTTTTGTGTGCTGCATGATTTTTACCATATTTTGGTAATGGATTTGCATATGTTTTCTGTCAAGTCTGTATGAGAGATTTTAATGTTTGATGTACAGGGCTTTTTTAGTTCCTTTATCTGCCCTTTCATTCTCATGAATTCCAATATCTATCCAGGCTAGGAATATATGAGCCAGCACTTTAATCCACTAGTCTATTATTTCATAGAACAATTCTGAACTTAGAACCCAGAGCCTTAATGTTCTTATTGCTTACCTGCTTGCTGCCACTGGTTGCCCAGATTGGCAGACATTTGAAGAAGGCCAGAGAGTGTAATAGTCGAAACATTGTGATAATAACTAAGAGAAAGACATTAATTCAAGTGGAAATAATAGCTCCTCATCCCAGAAATTCAGACAGAAGGTATTACAGAGGTTAGACTTCATCCAAACTATGACTTGTCAAGGATAATTGCAAAATTATTTACTTCTAAACAGTAAAACATCATCATCCTTTGACCTCCTTATGGTTGGTCGGAACTCTATTGAGAGTTCCTTTCCTGACTTTTTAGTCCTACATTGTTGTCACCAGATCCCCAATGTCCAATCCTGAGTCCTGAGCTATGGTGTCTGGGAAAGTCAATTTTTGTGAGAAGACACTCCAGACTGATGTCATAGGAGTAAGGATGAGACGAGTTCAATATGATTATTTAATTAACCAAGTAATCGTTTTTAGTGCATCATTTTACCTACTATTATTGCCATGTGATGCAAACAATAGTCAGAGTATTATTTAAACAAATTAGCTATAAATAATCAACAGTGCCTTTTTATAACCATTTTTTTCCCTTTATATTGTTGCCAACTAAAACATTTTGCATTTATACAAGTAGCAAAATAATCATTCTAAGTAATACAGTTAACGGAAGTGTTGTATAATTTGTTGCATTTCTTTTATAAAGTGTTTTATATATATATATATATAGCAACCCTTCTTTTAGGCACTGATATTCAGAGAACTTAAAACGATTACTTGATTACTTATTTTAGTGCATCATTTTACTTACAGTTATTGCCATGTGACAAACAATAGAGCATTATTTAAACAAATTAGCCATAAATAATCAATGATGTCCTTTTATAGCCATCTATAACTTAAATTATTGCCAGCTGGATTTACATTTATACAAGTAATTGTTCTAAGTAATGTCGTTAATCAAAATAAGAGCAGTGTAATTTGTTGCATAAACAAATACTCAAAATTGCTTTCAGTTGGTTAAATTTGCTGGACAGATTTCAGAGACTTTCATTTAAACATTGAAATTTCTCTATATAGCAGTTTTAAGATTACCAATGGAAGTGTGACAAAGGAGAGATCAGGTTTGATTTAATTGCTGTTGCAGGAAAAGAAAAAGATCAAATAGAGAAAGGATTATTTGGTTAATAATAATTCAAACAAATCAATATATGATAATTTCTTTTTTTAGTAAGTATTGAAAAATTAATTTTATTTTACATCAAAAAATTTTTTTGTTCGGACTTGGTTCAAGAATGAAAGAAAGAAGTGTTTAACATCTCCAGCCAGTACCTATTTTGTTTTGATCATGTGGAAAGAGTTGAAAAGACACAACTTGGATTGTGTGTGTGAGAGAGTGAGAGAGAGAGTGATAACATTTCCTGCAAATACCTCATAAATAATGGACTATTTTGTTTTGATTGATGAAAGACATCAGAAATGTTACTTGGTTTCAGTGTGAAAATGAAAGAAAGTAAAGATAACAGTGTTTAATATCTCCTGCCAATACCTCATAAACAATGGACTATTGTTTTGATTGTATGGAAGAACAAAACAGAGATGCTATTTGGTTTTCAGTGAGAAAATGAAAAAGATTTAATTGTTTAATGGTTGTCTCACGGAAATAGATAAAGTTATCAATTTAAAATCTTTTCCTTTGTACCCACTTCGTAAAATAACAACTAACATTCATTTTTATGATTGTTAAAGTTGTTAAGCTCAAATACTTAACGATGTGATAGAGGAATTTCTACATATATTTTATAGTCATAGAACTTGCCATGAGCTTGTTCAATCATTAACTTAAGATTAATTAGAAAAACTGTGAAATTTTCATGGGCCTTTCTCATTACTATCTATAACGGATTCATGCCAACTGTCTCATTTTGAGGATGGTAGGTACAAATGAGTTAATTACATTCTTACAAAGTCATAACATATTGAATAAACTAGTGTTCATCTGTTAAGCAATGTTAAGCCTGGTCAGTACCATACATTGGAGACACCTTGGGAATATCAGGTACTGATTTGTCAGCTCAGTTGAGCAGGACATTTAAATAAGATAAACTGCCAACCTTGGCTACCACATGGTTATACCCAATAATGGTAAAAGGTTTCTGGAGTAACCCTTGAGGATAAGATCCATGAATTGGAGTCCTTAAAGTAGCTTGAGCTTGTAATGTCCTGGCAACTCCTTCAATCGTGCTTGAACCATGGGTATCGGCACTTAACATTCCATTGAACCATTTCAAGGACATGGAGAGGAAGGACCTGTTTTCCATATCTACCTGTAATGAGTTGGTCGGTCAACTTGACACCCCCAAAGCGAGTGGAGGTGGGTATGCGCGGGAACTGTGATTGGTAGCTGGCTTGTTAGTGTTTTGCATAGGTGAGTTACCAAGCTCTATGTAAAGGGCTGGAATGCGAAGGAGGGCAGTTTTATGTCGAACGGTCTTTCCGCCATCTTGCTAGAGACAAAGTCATTTATTTTTTCGTGACACATTCCAACACAGGTCTTGTATACTGGGGAGAAGTAGCAGTCTACTGACAACATTTCCCAAGACTGACAGACGCCAATTTGATAAAGTGTAAGCAATACAAGAGGCAGGGTGGAGTAATGGATAGCAGCTCGAATTGAGGAATTGGAGAGCAGAGTTCAAATTCTAGTCAGATCCATTACATTCACTTATATGCTAATACCCTTGGGAAAGGCATGAATCCTCTTCTCCCCCCCAGCTATGGGTAAATAGCAGTACAAACTAGTTTCTATAATCTTGGGTGGCAACTGGTCTAAGAGAAGGAAAAACTGACTTCAAAACTGGCCTGGAGAAGGTTGGGTCCTGTCGGGCTATCTTACCCAAGAAACACCACTTCTACTGCAGTACAAATGGTGCCTCTACTACACTATGGGTCACGGGATAAAAAAAAAAAAAAAAAAATAGCAGTACTCACCAGCTTCTTGAGTTGTGTTTACCACACTCATACTCCAAGTACTCTTCCTCAGATTTTTGGTCACTTTCACAGAAAATTCATACTGAGTGTTTGGTTTTAGGTCATCAATGTGTGCATTCAGGTCAGTTGAGTTAATGTATTTGAACTTTCGATTGTTATAAACAGGAGCGTAGCGCACTGTATAGTAGCGGTTGTCTGTAATACGCTGGGCACGACTCAAAGTTGAATCAGTCCATGTTAGAACAATTGTCTGTGAGGACAAGACAATCGTTTTCAGGCCAACAGGTGGCATCATGGGTGTTGCCAATTCAGTGGCTGGAAGAGAATAAAAATGTTATTTTGAAAAAATAAAAAATGAAGATGTAAAAAGAACAGTTTAAAAAATATTTAAAATGTTAAAAAGGCATATATTTTAAAAATGTTGATCATATAGTCTGCCATGTGGGCGAAATGGTTGAGCATTTACCATTGATGCCAGGAGTTGGTGTTCAAATTAACATTAAAGCTTGAATCATGGACTGCTGAGGTTTTAGGTAAACGGTTTCTTCACTGGGGAGATTGTGTTACACCAAATTTGTCCTTTTAATATTTAGATATATAGATCACAATCATAAAAATAAGTAGATTGTAGATTCATTGGAAGAGAAGGGGAGAAAGAAGACAAAAGTGGGGTAAGGCAAAAAAATCGGGGAAGGAGACGGCCGTCATGAAAAGGTCCAAAGAGTCGGGGAAGGAGACGGCTGTTATGAAGTTCATAGTATGCCCATAGTTCTAGTTAATCATACTGTAAGGAAACACTGGAACAAAAGGTTGAGTTAAGAACAGGTTTAATCACAGAGACATGGATTAATAATACAGTAATAGAGAATACTGTAGTTCAGTGTGGCAGTACATATGACTCAAATCCTACGCCTTGTGAACTACTCTGCAACAATTATCCTATGAGAAGACGTTCTAATCATAGTGGATAGACAAGTCCGTGTTTAATAATTAGTGTAGAGAAGGTCAGTTGCCTTTCTTCACAGCTGCAGAAAGACCAAAGGGAGTGGGATGAAAGAGGTCAGAAGAGCCAAGGGTGGCGGGCAGGAGAGCTAAGAGGGGGGAGCAGGGGGCGGGGGAAGATGGCGAATAGAGCAAAGAAGGTGGGGGAAGAAGAAAGAATGAAGGTAAATATAAGAAATAGGAGAAAAAAAAATGATAAGAGGCAAAAGAGAAATGAACCTACCTGACTCCTCACTGGTTTTCTCAATTGCATAGATCGGTTGCCCTTCACCCATATTATTGAAAGCCTTTACTTTAATGATATACTGAGAAGAAGGTTCTGTATAAAAACAAAATAAAATAAAATCATTAGAAAGTTATTTATAGGCTAATAAAATTTATGTACACAAAAGATGACCGCCCCCTACACACAAACACACCTGCCAATACATTTTCTGACAATTGCACTTTGTAACACATCCTAACCAAGCCTTAAGAGTTCAGCTTCCCATTCATAATACCAGTACTCAAGATACAGTTTAATTTTTGATTTGATTGATTAGTTTTCTAACAGCTTAACTTATTGCAGGTTATTTAAGGCCAAAAAATATTTTTACACTGTAAGAATTTTTTTTTAAGATAACAATTTAGTGATATAAGGCACTGATTAACCCATAGATGGGAGAAGTGTATTTGCATGTAATATTTATAATTGTTATATTATCAAATTTACTAAGTTAAAGAATAATTTATGCACTATTTATTGGTGTTAGGTTGATTTTGTGTGTGTGTGTGTGTGTATTTATGTATGCCATATATATAAAATTGTGGTGATTGCCACATCTTACTCAGGTTAGAGCTGCGCCCCTCACCATTTACATGACTTGTGATGGCTTCAGTCTTGTTTTCACATCCATAGTCACTTGAATCTTGAGACCAACACTCAATGTTAAATAAAAGAAAGTGAGTTAAGTGATATTTTACAAGTTTTTTTTTTGTGCATGTGTAAATTAGTATTTTAATAGTATCCCAAACTAAATCAATGAAAATACTAATTTGCAAAAAAAAAAAAAAAAAAAAAAAAAAAATCATTGAATTCTATTACTTTGCGTCCTCCACTCCATAGCTTGCTTGACATTTCAGCTAACCTGATGAATATTTATGAGCATTCCTAAACTGTTTCCTTATTGTGTCATGGTGCTCTTTTTCTCACGGATGGTGCCCAACTGACCCTACTATACTGTGTAGTTGACAAAAATCAAAAACACGCATTTGCAAAATTAAAAATATAACATGTGAAAATTTACATTTTTCATTATACAAACCATAATAATAACCAAATTAAAAGGTGCTGGGTTACTTACGGAGATCTTTGATGGTATAGATCCGCTGCTGAGCATCCAGGTTCACTTGAAGAACGTCAGGAATGCCTCTGCCGTAGGTCAGAATATAACCACGTACAAGAATCTTACTTTCCTCTGATGGAGGAGACCATCGCACCATTATGGAGTTAGCCTCTGCTTGAGTTCGAATTCGAGCCGGTTTGCCAGGCACTTGTGATTCTACAGTAATGAAAGAAAATAAGTTAAGTTCTGGATATTTAAAATAAATTTAATCTAACATTTGTTTATATACACTCACTGGCCACATAATTAAATATGTATGAGCAAATGCTCTTTTATGCAAATTTTTTAATCCGTCAATGTTGTGGTAGCAATTTAATGGCTACAGGACTTTAAACATAGTCAGGGAACCTGCTGAATTCCATTTCATGCATCAGTATAGCAAAAACAAGAAGTGACTGTGTATGGCATTGTTATCATTGCCAGATGGGTGGTTCTGAGTATTTCAAATACTGCTGATATACTCTGATTTTTATGAATATCTGTAAGGTTTATAGAGAAAAATCCCAGTATCTGTCTATAAGGATACATGGCACAGTGGATAAAGGTGTTAGATCCAGTGACAGGACCCAAAGAGTTGTAAGTTCAATACCTGGGTATGGCAGTGGTGAACATGTAGAGGTGAATTAACAGGAGATAACTGATATCCATTAGACATGACATGTGGAACTAGAACAGTCTACCCCAGTGAGCGAAATAAAGGGTTCAGTTTGACATTGCAACCACCAGAGAGTACAACGTCCAAAACGTGATAAATATGGCAACAAAGATGAGGACAATAGTTTGAATAATGTAAATAGAGAAAAATCCCAGTGAGCAACAATTATGGGCGTGAAAATCAGAGAATGGTCATTAAAAAAATTTCTAGTGAGTGGCCATTCTGTGGGTGAAAACCCATTGAGGTCAGTGAAGAAATGTTAAACTAGTCCAAGCTGATAGAAAAGCAGGAGTAACTCAAATAACCACTCTTAAAGGTACACTGATCAGCATCTTTGAAGACATGCTGAACCTTGGCATTGACGAGCTACAGCAGTGGAAAACAATACCTTGGACCACTCTTCTCAGATACAAACAAGAAACTGAAGCTGAAATTCATCAAGGGCTACACCAGTTGGACAATAGAAGATTGGAAAAACATTACGCCATCTGATAATTCAATTTCTGTTGTAACATGGCAGAGCCAAATTTTGGATAGAACTTTAGGCTGGTGGTGGTATAGTAGTATGGAGAATATTTTCTTCTTACAGATTTATAAGGCTAGGATGTGGTCTCAAGCCTTGAATGGTAACTTTCCTAGAGATAGTGTTGTAATAAAAACACTGTACTTTGACTACATTTGAGTGTCTGAGTTGAGCATCAGGCCTCGTCTCAAATCATTGTGACAACTGTAAGGAAGGACCCACCTTGCTTTGTGCAAGATTAATCCTGGCCCTACCTCAACAAAAATATACAGCTATGTATGTATATTCATTGGGACTTTTGGTACTAATAAAAGATCTTTTATATGACCCAGCCTACCTAGGTACTGTGGTGGATGACATGCTTCAGCTTATGACTATGAGGCACTGATTTTCTTGTGGACATTTCTAGCAGGAAAACTCACCCTATCCGAAATCAAAAATAGTCGCAGGTTGGTTCATGGAACACAGCAATGAGTTTTTTGGGCCTCCACGCTACATTTTTTTCATGCTACAAATTTTTTTTTAATTTGAAATAATTTCTGTTATTTATCTTGTGCTTGAAGAGCTGAATAAGGGAGACAACTATATATACAATTCAATATCTAAGGGAGACAACTATAATTCAATATCTAAGGGAGACAATTATATACAATTCAAACTAATCTTTTTTAATGAAGACAGTACAATGAAAACATTGCTTTCAATCGTCAATTTCAATGATTGTATAGTCAGGCCACGCCAATGGTAGTTTCAGTTATCTGTGGTTGACACAATTAGCAAAGGTTTTGTGATATCTTTTTTAATAATTATATTTGGAAAATATAGAATAAAATTAATTTAAGTCCTCAAAGCTATCAAAGAATGAGACATCAGATCCTGATTGTAAAAGTTCAAATTAATAAATTTTGATTCCTTAAACAGTGAAATCTCTTTGTTTAATTCATTTAATTTTATTGTTTGTTGGATTAAGTCAAATACATTTCTTGGAGAAAAACGTTGCATACCCTTTGTCATCAAATAGGTTCATAGTGTATAGTAAAAAGTTTTGGATATAAATCTAGATGTTTCACTATTATCTGCAAATTTCCTCATAATGGTAATATCAGTTGTTTTCTTATAAGGAAACATTCAGCATTAATTGACTGAGCAGCCAGTGCTACTTATGGTTGAAACTTAAAATGTTTCTATTCAAACAATTTTTCAGGAAAATAGATTTGTCAAGTTCAGTAACTGTTAATGCACTTTCAAGTATTCATTGAAGTTTCCTTAACCTTTTATTCAAAATAGTATCAATATCTTTATTTTCTCTTCAAGTTACATGTTTGTTTGTTTAACAGTGTATAAACTCCTTACAGGTCATTTAATGCTGAAATTTAATTTTCTTGGAAGTTTTGAAATAAAAATGTTATTCTGCTTTCACAATTGAATACATGGTAGATAATACTCAACTTTTGTACATATACATGTTTGTACAGACATAATTACTAGAGGTACTGATGTGTTTTATGTTGTAGTTTTGTTGAAGTTATATTTTGGAATACAGTTTGATTAAAGAAATTGTAGGATATCATATGGCTTAATGTTCTGAAAGTGTTCTTTCATGTTGGTTTTGTTTAGCGGCATATCAAACCTTTATGGGTTATTTAATGCTGAAATGTCAATAATTTGAACAATTTTATGGCTTCAACTAAATATAATGTCTTCAATTCCAGATAAAAATGTATTGTTGGTAATTTTTTTTTTTTTTTTTTAAATCTAAAAATGTATTTTTATATTTTCATAGTGTTTTGCTTTTGTTTGGGGGGAGGGGGGGTCACTATTTGCCCATATCTCCTGATCAGAGGCCTTGCTGCCATAATGTAGTTCATTGTCATACCCAGAACTATCGAGTTACATGTGTTGCTGTTGTTGAAAGTCCTCAAGCGATGTGGTTTCAGTTATTTGGCAAAGTTCTTGTTTGTGATCCTGTAATAGCAGTTATTAAGTTTGAGGAAGAATGATCCTCACTAAGGACTACAGGATTCATTCTATTCAAAACATTGATTAAAAGGGAAAAAAATCTATCAACTATTAATAATGATGTTCTAATGTATTTTTTGTCATTCTTACCATCCAAATCATCTTTGTAGGTCACTGCACTTTGCCATTCAGTAGAAGGCCCAGTTCCTTCAACAGTTAATGCAGCGATTCTCACAGAATATTCGGTTCCTTTCTCCAATCCTAAAGAGAGAAAAAAAAAAAAAAATTTTTCACAACATGAACTCTAAGCACCAAATTGTTTTAAATTTTAATGTGAATTTTTTAAAAAAGAAATTAAATATAAAAAAAAATTTTAATTTATGAGCAAGGAAAATAAATATTAGTTTGTGATTTAGAAAGAAAAAAATTCACCTGTTAAGGCATAAAATTTACGATTGCCGGCAGTGGGTGCAGTGTCACCTCTGCGTTGGCCTTTCTTCTTGTAGCGGATTTTGTAGCCAACTATAATGCCATTCTGTTCATCAATTGGAGGTGGTTCCCACCGCACAATAATGCTCTGGTAAAAAGAAAAATAAATAAATAAATTCAAATATATATTGAGGACAACACAGTGGTGACAATCTGTTTCATGCTTAAAATGCAGTCTTCAGGCCATGCATTTAAACATGAACCAGACTTAACATTGGGTGTTGATCTTAATGTCCACATTTATATTTACATTCACTATCTCTAATATTGAGAACTTTAATCAATTTATATATATATATATATATATATATATATATATATATATTTGGTTGGATAGATGTGAGTTTGTGACCCTGGGTCTCACGCTTTAGCGATCATCAGACATTAATATTGAGTGCTTTCTAATAAGTACCACGCATATAATATATAAATTATACATATATATATATATATATTTTATACACTTTTCACACACATATATATATATATATATATATATATATATATATATATATATATATATATATATATAAAAATAGAGCATATGTCAAAACTATGCTTTTTATCATAAGTGAAAATATATAATTCATGAATATAGAATTTTTTTTTTTTTTTAAATTTAAACTTCTTGTAGATATACAATGCATTATCCTTATATTATTAGATTTACTATTTTTTTAAAATGTTTTTTTTCTCTCAAAAGTTTGAGTCTATACACTCTTCCTTATTACTATTATTTTATTACTAGTTTTATTCCATTATACTTATTATTGTTGCTTAGACTAATGTGATTTAATCACTAAACAAAGCATTCACAGGCTTTATTCAATAATTTCTTGATTTAAAAAAAAAAAAAAAAAAAAAATAACTCACTGTTGAACTTGTTGTTTCCAAAGTGAAATTACTTGGGGGTGCAGAGGGAGGCGCTGGGAGTGTACGAGCTACAAATTCTTCTGTACTCAAGCCTGCACCGTTTTCATTGTGGGCTTCAACCCTGAAGCTGTATTCTCGGAACTGTTTCAAACCTTTCAAAACGTAGGTTGGACTCTCCACATTGATGTCAGCTTCTTTATTTGCTCCAACCTCGTAATAAATTATTTTATAGAACTTGATTTGACCATTGGGTTCCTTAGGAGCCTCGTATTTTATCAAGATGGATGTTGATGAACGAGCTATGGCCTGTGCATTTTGAGGAGGACTTGGAACACGAACTGAAATCAAAATTAAAAATAGGTTTACCCTTCCAAAATAACAAGTATTTGGTCTAAGCAGAAAGTTAATTTTTTTTTTTAAATCTGATAATATTTTGGCAAAGTTTAACAAACATAACCACAAAAAAAATGCAGTGTCAAAAGGAAGCCTTTTCTCTTGATACTGCTATAATGGTATATGCCACAATTAAGAAGCTATTTTTAGAATTTTAATAAAGTTTTTTTTTTTCTCAGCTCAACCTATTTTAGTGAATTTAGGTCATAAAAGCAAATGAAAGAAATTCCTGGAAAATGCATTTCTTTGAGACGTTACAGTTACTCATAATGTGTTTATTTAAATTTTGGCAAACTTGGACCTTCGTGCTGCAAAAAAAACAGTGTCAAAAGGACAGTTTTTCCATTGACACTGCTATCATTTTAACTACCTTCACTCTTCGGCAATGTTTATTATTTTAAAAAACAATGATTAGAATTGTAATAAAACTTAAACATATGAAAGTGAATCTATACATATTTTTTTTGTTCTTGAGAAGTTACAATAAAAACATTAAACACTTTATTAGATTCTTTATTTACAAGAATAATTTTATATTTACAACATTCTAAAAACTAATACAATTAAAACTAATACAATGCAATATTTATCATTTACTAATTTATAAAGAAATATATATAAAAATAATTTTTGATTCATTGTAAACATTTACTAAATTATTAAAATTTGTGAACCAACTATAAAGAAATCCTTACATACCATTTTATATAATCTTAATCAATTGGCAAGTAGCCATTTTTTTGCCAACTATTCCAGTAAACAATAATGTTTATTATTTTTGTTGTCAAAACGACAAAAAATAAAAAAAAAAATAAAAAAATAAATAAAAAAAATAAAATAAATAAAAAAAAAGTATAAATTAACTTTCATATGTTTAGGTTCTATTACAATTCTAAACATCAATTTTTAAAACAAACATTGCCAAGGGGTGAAGGTAGTTAAAATAATAGTGGTGTCAATGGAAAAACAGTACTTTTGACATTCCAATATTTTGCAGGCAAAATTTAAATAAATAAATACATTAAATAAATACATGAATAACTGTAATTATGGCTTTCACTCATACTCAGTAATTTATGCTAAAAATGTACCCTTGTGGTCGACGGATAGTTTTCTGCAATCAATGTGGCCGGTCACTTTTTTTTTTTTTTTTTTTAATTGTGCAGGCCTGCTTTTAAGTTGAATTTCTGATTTAATCCCTCCACGTCATTTTAATTTTGTGGAATCCTGCTTGATCTTCTGGGTAATAACACACATTTCATATATAATGCATGCAAATCTGAGAAGGACAGGGCAATTCTAATCGCTTACCTTCTTGCTTTGATGTAACCAAAAGAGTTGCAGCTTTTCCCGGTCCATATCGGTTATAGGCCAACACTTGAAACTCATAAACTGTGTTTGGTTTTAGTAGCTGGATTGTAGCTTCAGTGTTTGTTGTATTCATCACACGTTCTCTAGATAAAAATATAAAATTAACACCAATTTTAGAACATTTTAAAATCAAGAAACTTATTTTGGCAATTATAATCACCATGTTAGTATTCAATTATTATATTGCAAAAAAAAAAAAAAATTTTTTTAAAATTTCATTTAAATTGCAAATTGTTTTTAAAGTAAATATTAAACAAATCCCAAATCAAAATCATATTAACCCATCTGCCGTCGCATTGTACTTGTCTGATTGTTAATGAAGCATTCATATAGGATGCTATGAGAGTGCCGAGAAGTTCTCGGCCCGGTCCTCTTCCCAATATCCTGATTAAATGACTGCATTTCATTCAAGCCTCACAGTTTTACATTCCAAGCTTTGATCGATAACCTCTGAGCTGTAATACAAATGCACTGTACACACGGTGTAATATAATTCAGATATATCTATAAAGACAATATGAATAGACAAGGAAAACATTTCATACCAATGCATTTTGTTCCTTGATAAATTTCCTCAAGAAACAAAACAGTGGGATAAAAGGTTTTCTTTTTATCATATATATGATAAGATATAGTTTTAACGTATGTTATATTTATGGGTTAAAATGTTCAATATCAGGGATATTGCATATATAAATAGCGGACATTGAGGACAACAGTCCGTTTCTTAACTTGAATGCAATCTTTGCTCTTAAGATGTGTTTAAAAATGAAAGACTGTCACCACTGGGTGTTGACCTCAATGACCACTTCATTTTATTTATATATATATATATATAAATATATATATATATATATATATATATATATATAGATATATATATACAAACACACACAAAGTATTGTTTTGAGATATGAACTGGAGTTTGGCCAATTCATTGCCTTGAGATACGAGTTGAATTTTGACATACAAATGAGTTTCAGTTAAGCATCTGCTAGTTGAAGCAGTGAGCATATTTATTTCACTCTGAAAGGATCTCTTGTGTTGTGCTTTTTTTGCAGTTATTTTTCAAGACGGTACATTGACGATAAATAAAAAAATCGTAAAATCTAAAAAATTAAAAAAGAAAAATAGTTACAGTAATGAATAAAATGTAAATGTTTTAAAAACTTTTAAAATAAGGTGATAACCTTAATCATTGTTATCGTAAACTAGGCTAGTCATTGCTAGGCTAGGTTAGCAGTTGCTTGACTAGATGTTATCCCTCTATCTCCACTGCCAATTTGGCCTTTGACTATGACATGGTTTAGTACAGTTCACTTCTTTACAATTTGTTTTTTTTTCTCTTATTTTATTGTTTATAAACTGCATTTATTGTTTAGTCACATGTTTTTGCTTTTAAGAAACTCACAAATATAAAAATAGGGGTGAGTTAAGAAAATAAGGGTGAGTTTTAGAGGCCTTTAACAGATCGGAAATACTCTCATTAATTTCAACTGATTTTACATACGAGTCTTTCAAGTCACAAGCTCAGTCTTGTAATGAATTAAACTCTTTATCTCAAGACATTATTCTGTGTGTGTATGTGTGTATTTAGGCAGCAACTTTCATTTATACAAGTTTGGTTAAAGATCCATTTTCCTGATTTTGAGTGAAAATTTATATATATCTTCTCCAATTTTCATGTACTTTTGATTTCATAAACCATTATCAAAGAATTTGTCCTATGTTACTTTCATTTTTTTTCAAATGTGTCTTCACATGCCGCCTTACATTTTAAGCATTGCATCTTCACTATTTGTTTTATAAATCTTGTGTGAAATATGATAATTGAATAATGAACTTTTCTCCCCCCCCCCCACCAAATGAAGTCTTAAAGTCTGGATGACTAATTTCAAAAGAAATCTTTTAAGAGCCCAAAAAAAAATGTGAAAAACAGGCATAAAAAAGTTTTTGAAATTTGTAGCAGAGCAAGAGAAAAAAGAAAAAAAAAAAAATCAGTTGCAAAATTTGACTTTTCTGCCAGGCAGGAAGACTTGCTGCTGTTGAGACAAAATTTATTCAAATTCAGAAATCTGATTTTCAAAATAAATTGCTTGCAATAATTTTAAGGTGTGCACTTAAAGATTTCATTTGGATCTTGATTTTGCTCTTCATCAGACAAGAGGCAAAAAGACTGTTGAGAAAAGAGAGAGAAAAAAAGAAAAGAGAAAAAAAGAAGAGAAAGGAAAAAATACATATGCACACACACACACACACACATATATATATATATATATGTGTGTGTGTGTGTGTGTGTCTGCAGATTTAATTTACTCCATACAAACGTTATGATTTTAAAGGTTAAATGAAAAACTTTGGCTACAAATGAAAAAAAATTCTTTATGCAGAAATTTTTCATCTGATTTTTTTCTCCATTGTTGTGATCTGACCATCATTCTCTGACAATAAACAGTGTTCACCCAAAACAATTGATGGATTTGTTTTCTATGGCTTATCAACCCTTTGCAGCTTATTTAAAGCCAGGAAATATTTTTAGATTATTGTAAAAATAATTTTTTTCTTAGATAATGGTTTAGTGAGTGGGGAGGGAAGAGTCAGATTCATACCTTTACCAAAGGTATTTGTACATAGGTGAATATAACAAACCCAACAGGAATTGGAACTCAGCTATCCAATTAACACTTCTGAGCCATTATCCATTGTATCATCCACACATTCAAGCTTACAGCAACTGGTATTTCCAAGTCGTCACCCATCTAGGTACTGACCAGGTTCAATGTTGCTTAACTTTGGTGATCATACAGGAACTGGTGTTTCAATGTGATGTGGGTGTAAGCCCCCACAAAACAAGGTGGCCCAAGAGCCACTCAAGGGAGCTGTTGCAGGAGTTGTAAGAATAAGAGGAAAAAGTGCAGTTTATGTGGATATGTAAGAAAGATAAACTAAACTTGGAGAGGTTAATTGTAGTTGTTAGAAAAGCATCCTCTTAAGAATTGTGGAAATTCCTTTGTACAAAGGGAATGAGACTGGTTCAACCTAGTTAAGCGGCTTGGCGGGTCCTATCTGTGAGAGTTAGAATTGGTACAACTAAGGAATGTAGTGTGTCATAACATTTTCCATGGAAAGAGTAGTGAGAGGCTTACAATGTTTGATCTGTCGAAAATGAGCTGTAGTAGAAAATAATTCATTACCAACAAGGCTGTGTAGATGCTTTTGAGCTCTGTCGAAACTGGTAAGGGAGGTTAGGGCAGCTTCAGTCTGATATAGCTCTTGTGAATGTAGAATATAGCAGGAGGGGTCAGATTGAGCTGTGAGAGCTCGGTCAGAGGAGAGATCAGCTCTCAGGCTCTGGTCATCTATGTTTCTTGAGATGTACTTCTATGCCGTTGTATCATTTACATAGATATTCACTAAAGATGGGTATATTTCTTTAGGCAATTCATTAATATAAAGCAGAAAAAGGGTAGAACCGAGAAGCAAACTTTATGGTGTTACCTGCATTGATCACAGACCGATGACCTTCATAGAAGGTGAGGAAAGACTAGATAATTGAGAAAACTCTTCCAGTGATTCCATAGTCGGAGAGCTTGTATAGCAATCCCCATATGCTACACCCTGTCAAAGGCCTTCAATATATTTAAAGCAACCACCTTGTGATGCATTTATTGTCTAATGCCCCACTGATTCTATGCATAATGATAGAATATCAGTAGTGGATCTTAAAATGTGAAATCCATACTGTTTGTCATTTGGGAGGTTGTTCCTATTGAGGTGGTCAAGTTGATTTAAGTTTTATTCATTTATATAAAAAATTATCTACAGTGCAATGGTTGTGAATGCTGGAAAATTTCACAGAAGAGACTTGAATCAACAGAGACATGGTTCAACCAATGAATGTTGAGAATACCATGGACAGAACAGGTGAGCAATGAGGAAGGCTTAAGGAAAACAGGAACAAGAAAACATACATGGGACAGCTGGGGCACATAATGAGGAAAAGGAGGAAGGAAGAACGAGGAAAGAAGAATGAAGAATTTAAGATTCACAGGAAAATAAGCCATCTACTTGAAGAATTTGGGTAAATAGATATCAGAACAAGGACAAAGTGGAATCATAAAGAGTCAAAATTGACTTAGAGAAACAAAAGACAGGAAATTGAGGAGTGCGATAATCGGCCAAGTCCCAAAGAGAAAGGTTTGTCAGTCTTTAAATGTTTATATAGTTTTGTTTATTCCTTTTTAAAAATTCCAAAAATGAAAGTTTTTTTTAAAATTCACTATGCTCACAAGATTTTCCCCACTTCTCCAAGTTGCAGAAAGACATTTTTGGGAAGCGTTTTTTTTTTTTTATTGGATTAAAAGAACAGATTGTTAACCTTAAAAGGCAGAAAAAAAAAGATTACTAGTCAACTAATCAGAAAATGTTAAGTCTTGAAGCTAAACATTGAGACAGTCATCAAGTTAGTGAAACTGAAGAGGCAAATAATTGGATTTCAGGGAGTTGTTGGAAAGTGGGTGGGGAGATGTTGAAGTTAAACAAATAAGAGTAATGCAGACATTACTCAAAGGGCAGGCATAAACAAAAAGGGGAAATAAAAATTAAGGAAAAGAAAAAAAAAAAAAAATATATATATATATATATATATATATATATATATATATACATACACACACGAGAGAGAGAAAAAAAACTCAGATGGATAGAGAGAAAAAAAAAAAATAGACAGAAATTGAGATAAAAAGAGAAAATAATTAGTGAGGGAAAGAGAGAGAGACATTCAATAAAAATAATCCCAGCAGCTTCAGTCAGCTGTCTAAGTAATTAGAATCCATGTTTGTTTAAAGTCAGTCTTTTTGCTGCAGGGCCTTGAGAATTTCTTTCTGGATAAAATGAAATTCCTTGAATGAACTATTTTAGGGAAATAGAAAACAATTTTGGTCATTTCGTCACCCTCAAGTTGGAGTAATTTCCTGTGTTTTGGGGTGGATATATTTTCTGCTGTAATATTTAAAAGAGAGAGAGAGAGAGTAAAAGGAGAGAGAGAGTAAAAGGAGAGAGAGTGAGAGGAGAAGGAAGGAAG